CCCCCCCCCCCCCTTCTCAATCAGGACCCCGATTGTGCCCTCGTACCGCCAGTACCCCCCTGCCCCGCCAGAGGTCTGTGACACCCATAGTAGCCCACACATTTGGTTCAAAGAGAATATTTAAAAGTGCAAGTTTTTCTGGTCTTAGAGTTTATACAATAGCTATGGATGCCACTGACTCGCACACATATTTTACCTATTATTCATTTATTCCACAATCAAAAAAGTGAATACTCTTCAGATGAATTCATTTCAAGTGAATGCAACATTTTTTAAAAAGCACAATATTTTAGTGGTAAAACCTACACTGCATCATACACTGTATATATATTTTTCTGTTAATCCTATAACTATGTATGCATTAATGTACACTACAGGATTTCATATTTTCTACATGTAGCAGAACAATGGCATTCATCTCTATTCTGAACCAGAAACTTCTTAAAATAAAATGAGAGGTCAAACACTTAAGGGGGTCAAAAGGGACCGTAGTCTGTCTCCAAAGTCAAAGCCATCAAAAGTGTGTCCTTTCTTCCCTGCAGTGGGGGGGATTTCTGAGTGGCCAGAGCATCATCATAGTACACCATTCTTACAGATGTTTACTTTCAGAACATCTGGAGCCCACACAAGCTCACTGAAGGGTCTAGGACATCGTTTGAACTCCATATAAGGGCATGACCAGCTGGGGGATATTCCATGCACAGCCAGTCAAAGGCATTCCGGCTGTGGAAAACACATCCTCTCTCTTACCGTCTGCATCTGAGTGTGTGTTTCTCATCTTGAGACATGAGACATGATTACAACACTGAATGCTTTTACAAATGCCAAGTTTGCTTTGTGCACTACAGGGAAAGTGGTTATGAGTTTGGACTGCTTGGAGAGATAAAGCGTGTTTGTGTGTGTATGAGACTTACCATCTGTTCTTTGGGTTAAAGAAAACACGTCTGATGTGCGCGGCATCTTCCAAAACGTCTTGTTCCCTGTGATATGAAGTTACATGTAGTGCTTCCTTATCTACAATTAAATATCTACAACATGTACTAATCACTTTCATTATTAGAAACATCCATCAGGATTTGTATTTTTAAGGTTCATTGTATCTTGTCTCGTTTATCATGTTAAACATCCAAGCATTAAAACAGGCTTTAGGATTTCACTTTAACTTTTATTAACACATCATTCCACATATATAACCAAATGGGTGTTATCTTTATCTAACAAAAACAGTGCTTGGGTTAGAAGCTTCCCTTTAGTACTGATCCTAGACCAGTTTACAGTACCCACAGCCTTGAAGTGATCATTCATCTAAAGATGAAGATCCAATCTTTACTAGCTCTCATGCTCTTAATTTCCGATCTTCTGTAGAACACTAAAACAGGATATTTGGAGAATGTCCAAGCTGTGATATACCTGGGTTCATCTCCAAAATGGACAAAACACAGTAAAAAAAAACCCAAAAAGTCTCCCAAATCTCATTCACCCTCAATTCAAAATATTCAAACAGCGAGATCAGCCATAAGAAACCTGAACCAATTGTATTAGATATCATTCAAACCAAACCAAATGTGGCACAATGCTTCTTGAGGCGCAATGTTTTGATACTTACAAACATGAATGAGATTTGAAAGCTACGATGGAGATCTTGTATTTCACTCTGCTCATCATACAGTTTTATCATATGGTTTCAGAATACCTTTAATATAGTGCATGTGTCATATGGACTACTGTTATGGTGCTTTTTCTTTTTTTTACAGTACTTTCATTGCATGAAAAAAGAGCAGCTTGGACATTCTGCAAAATAATTCCTTTTGTGTTTCACAGAAATAAAATATGGGTTTGGAGCAACATGAGGTAAATTCATTTTTAGGCAAACTATTCCTTTTATTCAGCCATTAAAAGGCATCAGAACTGGTCTCAGATCAGCTACAGTGGGCAACGTCTACCTATCTATACTAAGCAAGAGGATAACCATATATAATACAATGAGTATAAGTAGGAGCAGACATGGAAGATAAGAGAGAAAGGGAGATGGGTAATGGAAAGAATGAAAATATCGCATGAGTACCAATCCAGCCATATGCAAATGAAGAGAAAGTGAGCGATAGAGAGCTGGAACCCAATGCAGGAACACCAGAAGCGCATGTCAGAAATACACCGGTCTTAACCAGACTCCAGGACCTGGCAGAGACACTTCTTTTGTTCCAATACTCTTACCATGAGCTCACTAATGTCTCGGTAGATACTAATGGGGAAGGTACAGTAATCTTATTCTTGGAGGCTATTTTTAAGTCAGTTTCGATGCCAATAAACATTCTGTGCAGATTAAAAGTTTCAAAGTTTCCTACTTGTCCACCTTATTTTCCCTACAACTTCCATTACACAGGCAGCATTTTCAGTTCTTGAACTTTCCATGGCTCTCATGCATTACATTCACAATCTTATGATTATGCTTAACAATCTGACAACATGTAAGGCCATGTAAACATGTAAGGCCCCATAAACTGTGTTCTTTATCAAGTAAAGGTCAAAACCCAAATGGCACTCTGTGTAAGAACACCTTTAATAGTGTACAGTTTATTAAACATGTACATGTCTGTTTATATTTTGACGTTGACAGATTATATTTTGATGTTATTTATGAGCAAATTCTTGATAGTTTTTATCGTTTTACTGTATGTCGTTTTACAGACTCATTGGTTTTCATGTATTTTCTAATTCTTTTTAGGTTTTTCTGAATTATTATTATTATTTTTTTGTGGATTAATTTGAGGATTAATTGTTCACCTCAAGACTAGCCATGTGCGCTAACAAAATAAATAGTGTACATTTTTATTTCATGTGGACTTTAACTCTCTATGGTAATCTGTAGCCACATTTTGAAAATTTTGGTGAGATTTTGCAGGGCAAAAAAATGTCCCTTGTCAAGAGTTAAGCGATGAATGAAGCACAGTTCACACAGAAGCCGCTTTCAAATGCAGCGAATTCACATGACCAACTTGAAAACAAGCGAAATCTGAATGGGAAACTTTTTGACCCTCATGTGAAACTCCAGATCGTACAGATTCCTATTGAAACGAGTGGATTTCGCTTGCAAATGTTTGTCTAGCAGCAGTAAATGTGACCGCACCTTAGGGAGCTTTGCAGGTGTACTGGAACAGAGAAGTCTTTTCAAGTTACGTTCCAAAAAACACTATGAAATATAGATCAGGAGTTTTTTTTACTTAGTGAAACGACACCACCAAATATTACTCTTAAAAGCACTTTGTTGTGCTGCCTTCACATGGACAGTGGTATCGTAAGACTTTGCTAACACCAAGTATATGACACAAAAGAGACCACAATGAACAAGAAGAAATAAACAGCAAACAGAGTAATGCTGAACCATTGATCCTATCCATGCACCAGTGAGGCAACCTACATCATCTTATCTTTTAATTCTTCTGTATAAAGTTACAGTTTAACTGTGCTGTGAGCTCTATTACTCTAATTTTACAGCTTTTGCTTGGACTGCTGCTATCAAATTTGTAATCAGAGTCTAGAGGGTGGGAGGGTTCGGTTAAACGCCCCCCTCACACACATTTTGCGACAAAGCTTTTTATTCGTCTACTCACATTCCACGAAATATTTGCGGCTGCAAACAAAGCACATTTGTTTGGGATTATTCCATTAAACTAATTCTGTGCAGCACTCCTAGTGCCTGATGTGAATTTAAAGCTTCATGGTTTACAATGATAAAATATATCAATTTCAAAAGTTTTTTAAAGGTTTGATTCATTTTTGAAACCTATTCTCTGGAAATAAATACTGCACGGATTGACTCATTTTAAAGGCTGGAATAGTGACTGTGTGTTTGCAGTGTGTGTGTGTGTGTGTGTGTGCAGATGTATTGCCTCACAAATCTTTCGTTTTAATGAGTGCGACTAGAGGCTTGTCATCAGGGCTGTAATCTTCATAACTGATGGGAGTCGCATCATACATTGCTGGTCTGGATTTCTTCCCAAACCTGTAACACACACAACGGAATAGGACTGAAACATTAAGTCGATATTATCGATAACATCAACAATAAAAAAATTGTCAACAAATGTTTTTGTTTTCGCTTGTTGACCTAATGTAAAGGCCTGTAATAACGTGGTTTGACCAGCGTGGCGCTGTAGCGCAAGACTGTAATTCAGCCCTCCCGGCTCCAATCCAACAGAAGACGACACGCTTATGAGAAGTGCAAATGAAACGTTAAAGGTGCTGTATGTACGTTTTTGACTCTACTAAAGCATAAAAATACCATAATATGTTTGCAGATATTTAAGAAACATGCTAAGTTAACATACTTGTTTATCTGAAAAACAATGCTACAGTCAGTTATTCTCCTTTGAAAATGTGCGTTCCGGGCCGGAATGTCGGTCTCTGTCTTGGTTTGTGAAACCCGCCCACTGCCAGTTTACCCAATTGTTTTTCGGGACCCCGGGTTGTCAGTTGGCAGAAAACACAGCGTATTTAATTTCATTCATCGTCAAGTGCGCTCGTTCCTGTTGGTGTCGTCAATCTGGCAACCTGCATGTGCATCAAGTCTGAGGAGGAGGGGCCAGGTGAAAAAAAACCCCTCTCCAATATTTTGAATTTGGACTGCAATACCTAGTTCAACCACTCGGTGTCAATCCTACATACAGCACCTTTAAGAAAGCATTTGATCATAGCGATGTGGATGTTTGCACAAGCTCTGCAATTGGCACTCCAGTCAAGTCACATCACGTTTATTTATATAACGCTTTATGCAATAGATTGCTTTAAAGCAAGCAGCTTTACAGTATTAAAGGTAGGGCAGGTGATTTCGGAGAGGCTAGCAATAGCATGCCAGCTTTGAAAGCATAAGATCCCACCCTCCCTGCATAATCACTCTCCAAAGCACACGAATGCGCAGAGGCTAACCAGCGACACGATGAGAGACGGCATTGGTGGAGGGGTGAATGCACCTTTAAGAAAGCATTTGATCATAGCGATGTGGATGTTTGCACAAGCTCTGCAATTGGCACTCCAGTCAAGTCACATCACGTTTATTTATATAACGCTTTATGCAATAGATTGCTTTAAAGCAAGCAGCTTTACAGTATTAAAGGTAGGGCAGGTGATTTCGGAGAGGCTAGCAATAGCATGCCAGCTTTGAAAGCATAAGATCCCACCCTCCCTGCATAATCACTCTCCAAAGCACACGAATGCGCAGAGGCTAACCAGCGACACGATGAGAGACGGCATTGGTGGAGGGTTGAATGCAATGCTGTCAGATTATCTCATGTCTCATTCACCGGTGAGAAAACTTTAGAGTATAAAGTGCATAATATTACAATAATAACACCTTCCATTCTCGCTCGGGCTGCAATAGCGTAATGAAACACGCTGAAGTATCATCTCTGCACGAAAAGAGTGCGCGGAGGTTTATTGACAGGCAGGTAGGACAGCGTATCTTAGTCCTCGGACTGAGGGATATGATTGGACGAACACGCCTTCCACAGATGATATAAATACATTTAGACCACTTAACTTGATTGCTATTGGGATGTGAAGAGACTTTCAACCAGCAAAACAAAAAATGTTTTTGAACCAAATCACCTACCTTGCCTTTAAACATGTCACTTTCAGTTAGAATTACAACTTTATTTTCTGCTATAAAGCAGCTCTATATGTATATAAATATGTATAGAATATGTATAACTTAATATTTAAATGACTTGCAAAAGCTGAATAATCAATCAAAGCCTACTGATTAATCTGTGAAATAATCGATTAGTTGATTAATCGTTCTAATAATTGTTCGATTAATCGATTATAACAAGAATTGTTGTTTGCAGCCCTACAAAGAAACAGTCTCATTTTCTCATTCATTAAGTTGTACTGGAAAGAGCAGCCTGAACATTCTTTAAAACAGCTTCTTTTGTGTTTCACAGAAGAAAACATTAAAAAAAAGTAATATAAAATAATATATTACCTCGCGTGGCGAATGGAGGCGATAGCATTGCTGAAATCGCTGTCAATACTGTGGCAGTTGTAAAACTCCTGGTAGGCATGACGGGACGAGCCCTGGTACTCGATGCGGCTGATGCGACAGATGCCAACGATGAGGATGATGAGCATCAAGACGAAAGCCACACACAGAGCGCCGATGATTATGTACAGAGAGTGACGAGGCATGTTGGTCAGCGAGTCGACCGGCTGAGCCATCTTCCACTGCAGATCTGAAAGAAAGATGAGAAGGATGAAGAAAGAGAGACAAGAAAGTGTTATTGGGTGTCTTCCTGAGAAAAAACTTGCCACTATGCTATGTGGTTGCTAAGGACTTCTGTTATAATGTTGCTAGGGTGTTCTGGATAGTTGCTAGGGGGTTCTGGGTGAACAATGCAGTTCTTTACATTTACAACAGCAGTCTAGAATGAAATGCTAGCAGTCTGATGAAATGCTTTAATAACAGCCACAGACTGAGCGACAGCTAGCAAGGAAATATACACACCCATAAACACAGTGGGATATTCCTGAGAATCTCTGAATGGCAAGTTATTTCAGAGAGTCACATGGCTCCGCCTCCTCGCACGTCACAGTCGTTCCACAATGATGTGAGCGGGCGGACCGTGAGGAGGTTCACAGGACACTAATGGTGCCGAGTCACAGCTGCCATAAAAGGCAGGAGCACGTCACTCCTCAGAGGATCCGCTCTCTACCCCTGTGCATACATAACGCTGTCCTTGAGGCCTAAGTCATCATGGAAAAATATCTGAACTGCCACAAGCAGAGCAAGAACACCACGTCCCTTTAAGTCGCTGCCCCCATGGACAATTTTAAATCATATTTGTGTTTTTGTTATGAATAAAATAATTATAAATAAATCATTCCTGAAGCATTTCCCTTCACCCCTTGCAATAACTGTGTAGTGTTTGTAGGTCAGAAGGCCGGCGTAAACTCACGGATCTCACAGCTTCCGCCGACCCAGCCGGGAGGGCAGTGACAGGTGTAGCCGTTTGATTGGTCGATGCAGGTGCCGCCATGGTGACAGGGGTTACTCTCACACTGGTTGACGTCAACCTCACAGTTGTCGCCTACAAAGAGACAAAAAAGTGTTTGAGACAGAATACAGACCTACTATCACTATTCCTCTCAAAATACTCAATAGCTATGTTTGGGAAAGCATACTAGCCTGCTGGATGCTGCATACTGCATACTGTGCAGTACACATGTAAAACAATGCAAGAGCAAGTTATCTTGAAAAAAAAAATATATATATTTTTGCATGTTTAGTCCAATTTGTGTGAAAATGTCTTAATGGCTGTCTGATCCAATAGCGGTGGAAATTGATAGTTGAACACAATGCATTGTGAGATACGGTATATTGTGAAGTGTGTCATATTGCACACTTACACTGGCAAATGTATTAGGTTAGGGATTTTCCAACTGGGGGGCTGCTAGGGGGTCAACAGACAAAAAAAAAAAGTAAAATTAAATAATAAAAATAAGATTACACAAAATAAAAATTTGATTATAATAAATATTTTTATTAAAAATAAATAAAACATGTAAATAAATAAACAAACAAACAAATACTACATCTAACAGTATAGTACTATAGGCAAAAAAGGTAAAAAAAAATGATAAAACGGATATTTCCGGTCCTTGATTCTGATTGGTTGAGCCACGTTCGAAGCTGTTGTAAATTACACTACAAACATACACCTTTGTTTACTTCTGTGTGCTGCTCGGCAAACACTTTGTTGGAACCACAACTGTTTTTACAGTGAATTTATAACAGCTAAGGGGCGTTTTTAGGCACTCCGCGAAAATATTTGCTCTGTTTTATTCTGTGAAACCTTAATACGTATATGGAATAACTGTTTTATAATAAAGCAATAAGCCCCAACAAGCCATGGTTTACAGTGAATTTATAACAGCTAAGGGGGTTTTAGGCACTCCGCTTCGTGTCGTGCCTAAAAACGCCCCTTAGCTGTTATAAATTCACTGTAAACCATAGCTTCTTGGGGCTTATTGTTTTATTAAATAACATTACACAAAATAAAAATTTAATTACAATTTTTTTTAATTAAAATAAATAAATACTACATCTAACAGTACAGTACTACATGTAAAAAGTATCTTAACACTTTTATTAATATTGCTAAATATTTGCCCAATTATTAGAAAGTAAATATTTATGAAATAATATTTTACACAATATAATTTTTTCACAATATAAACTTTATTAATTAAAATATATAGCTGCCTTTTAAAATCTTGCACAAGTATGATCATATTTAGAGGTCTGTGGCTTCTAATAGATTGAAAATCCCAATATTAGCAGTAGGAGTTATTCCGAACACAGATAAAGACACAAATATATCATACAATCATAAACAAACACAATATTCACCCATATATCCTGGAGGACACACACAGGATGTGTTTCTTTCTCCACTGTCACAGTGTCCTCCATTCTGGCACCTGAGCCTCAGACAGGGGTCCTTATATATCTCACAGTGCTTACCTGAAATAACCCACATCACATTAATCACGTCGTTTTTTTACTTACATTTTTAACTCCGAGTGCATTAAACGCACCTGTGAACTGTGGGACACAGATGCACTCGTAAGCATTGATCAGGTCTCTGCATGTGGCGTAATTCTGACAGGGAGCAGACACGCATTCATTATACTCCTCCTCACAGTAAAGACCATGATAACCTAAGAGAATAGATAGAAAAACAGAAAATTGTTGTCTATAGCAGTCAACAGCATGTCATAGATGTGGTTGATAGAGCTTAAGCTGTATTTTAACTTAAATATTCCTAGAGAGCCACTAGAGAGCAGTGTTTAGTTTAGTTGGGGTTTACAGGATTAGGTGAGCAGGAGCAAACTGATGGCACAGATGACTATGAGAAAAAATGTTTTTTTTTTTTTTCTGTATTGTGTATATTGATCCATAGATATCGTCCTGTGTATATTATATTGTGAAATGTATGCATGAAAATATTTGACAAAGTAAAGTAACAGCATATAGTAATGTGAGGTGCAAAATGTCTGCATTAAGCATTTCTTGGCTCTTCCAAACACACACACACACACACACACACACACATACACACACATGATGAACACTACATTATTTTACATATTACTTTGTTTTGAGTGGCTATGCAGCTGCTAGGGTGTCAAGTGTGGTTGCTAGATGATTATTTACTGTTTTAACTCAAAAGAACCCACCAACAAATATCTATGATTTTCTCCATAAATGGCTCCATTCCCTTCTTCATTGTAAGAATATGAGATTTCTTTTTCATTTAGCATGTGAAAACTTTGGAGTAAAGGATCTGTTTAAATCGCTAACCCCAAGTAAGAGCAATAATAATAGTGATGCTAAAGATCAAAGTAAAAACACTGAACACAGAGCATTTCAAAGTATACCGCATTTCTCGCAAACGCATTTCTCTCCAGAAGTTACGATTACTGATGAAATTGTCTTGGGTTGTTCAAACTTTTTATGCATTTTGGCCGGTCATTCACATGAAAATGCAAACTTTTGAAAATGTTTTTAAAGTGCAAGTTTTTTAAAACAATACAATTATCGTCCGGTGTAATCTACAAAAATTTGATTTTCATGAAAACGCTGGCTGAGGTCACGCGCATACTGGTTAGGGTTAGGGTTAGGGTTAGGGTTAGGGTTAGTGCAGTACATGCATACTATGATGATACTGAAAATTACGTAAACCCAGGCCCAGAATGCTGCCCTTAAATCATTTGATCATTTGTTTTGCTGAGGACCATTTTGTGTTTACTGAGAGTGCAAATCTCAGCAATCCCACAGGAACGGGCATTTGTCGTCAGAAGTGTCGTCTTCATAGCGCAATCCCATTGAGCATTACTTGCAATCCCCCCAGAGAATGTTTAGGTCCCATCGGACACCTCTTGTCAGAGCGGGGTGATAGACTGATCTGGCTGCACAGCTGGTGCAGTCACACTTCACAGACAATGATGTCTGTGCACGCAATACACAGGAGGCAGTTGCCATGGCAACCAGATGGTCTTGGAAGGAATGTAAGGGAGAGGCACAGCTATGAGCAGAACCCAACGAGATCCTCACCTGGTACACACAGGCACCTATAACTAGTGCCGATGCTGCGGCAGATGCCGTGAGCGCATGGGTTGAGGGCGCAGAAGTCCACAAGCTGGGCGCAGGTAGGTCCGGTGAAACTTGTAGGACAGGTGCAGCTGAAGCCCAAACCGGCACCCTGTGCGGAGCAGCTGGCATTATTGTGGCAGGGCCCAGAAGCACAAGGATCAATCTTCTGCTCACACTTGGCACCCTGATACCCTAACAGAGAGAAAGAGGAAGAGACTAAGATGTGCAGTATTGCATAAAGAAACCAGTTTGAGTCTGATGCAGTTCATTCGATCTGAATCATGTAGCCTTCAATCTCAATAACCACTATAGAAAATTACAGCCATGAAGAACGTGAGAGAACATCTACTATTCAAAGATGAGAAAACCCGTGAACACGGATGAGATTTTATGTGACAGTATTTGACAGATGTTGCTACCATTTAAAGTCACAATGAAATGGAAGTAGCGACAGATCTGTTCTTACACATTGTGACAAACATCTGAGCATAAAGGATTATTGAAAAAGAATAAAATGTAGAGCGGCTGTTGACTGGATGTTGAGATCTGGGTGTGGCATTCTGAGATGAATGTGATCTTGTAGGGGTGGGTTCAAGTTCAGATTTATCAGTTGTTTGTTTAAAAAGTCAGTAAAAAGAAAGACCATATGTCAAGACAACCAGAATTCTGCATACAAGCGTGTGCAGGCACACATGTACAGTACAGTGTATGTTTGTTTTTGTGGATTTGTAGTCTCTTCTAACATGAACGCACCAGCAGATTACAAGCTTGGAGGCTATGATCCCCCCCAATAAATGTCATTCACACACAGAGAAATAGAGCTCAGTGCGCCGATCCGCCCACAGTTTCCCTTACGGAAGCAATTTCATGTATTATCTTAATGAAACTCTCTCAGCCTGACAGAGCCGACATGAATGTGCTTCACTGCCAGTATTAGAGGAATAGTTCTCCCCAAAATAAAAATGCTGTCATTATTTATTCATCCTCCTGTTGTTCCAAACCTGTATGCTCTTATTTTTTTCAAAAACTATGACAGGTCACATACCATTATCTTAATGAAACTCTCTCAGCCTGACAGAGCCGACATGAATGTGCTTCACTGCCAGTATTACAGGAATAGTTCTCCCCAAAATAAAAATGCTGTCATTATTTATTCATCCTCCTGTTGTTCCAAGCCTGTATGCTCTTATTTTTTTCAAAAACTATGACAGGTCACATACCACGACTGTGAAGCTCCAGCAAAAAAGCACCTTAACAGTCGTCCATTTAACTTGTGTACTATTTCATTTTTCTGAAGTCAAATGTACATGTAAGCTCAAATCAATGTCAGTTTGGATGACCAAACGTCACAGACATCAGACATCAGACATCACACAATTGGTAGTACCATATTTCATCTGAGAGCTTCATCGAAGCGGAATATTTGCAGCGAATACGGCTTCAGAAGACTTGGAGCATAGCGCATGAGTAATTTGGACTACTTTTATAGTGCATTTATGGCAATTCATAAATGTGAATATTACCAACTGTGATTGTATGATAAACTGCTTTGAAAAAATCATCCAATTGTGTTCCACTGAAAGAATACATTTACAGGAGGAGAATAACCAATTTTGCTTCATTCACAGTATACAATGCCATGTTTATTAGAAAGCTACAGGTAGGTAGAGCAGAGGAGAAATGCCAAGTTAATTGGTTTAGGGTTGTAGAGTGGTTAACTGCTGGTGGATAAGGAATGTCTTCAACTGCATCTTGAAAATTGTGATGTTTCAGCAGTTGGAGTGAAGGCTTGTAGCTCATTTCAACAGAGAGGAGAAGAAAGGGTGAAGGCTCTGGAAAGTGACTTTGTAAAAGTTAAAAAATAAAAGCATACAGATATAAAACAACATGTAGAATAATTAAAGAATTTTCGTTTGTTGATTGAACTATGTTTTGAATGGTACTAAAGGTTAGATTCCAGCCGGATGCCTTTCATTGCTGTTTGCGGTCGTTTCTATTACCTTTTAGAGTTTCAATGGATGTTTTAGCCCTGAGATGCCGAAATAGCTATTAACTGCCTCATGAGGTTGTTGAAATATTAAAAGCCGTACCCTGAGCTGCACCACACTAATTAAAAATGTGCTAATGGTGCCACTTTCCTTATTGTTTCAGCATTCCTTGTTTCAAACGGTGGTGTAGGGTGCCTGTTCACACCACAAGATTAATATTTCAGTGCATTTCTGCCACCAAAGTTCAGAGGACTTCTATCAAATTTATTTTCTTGTCTGATTCTAGTGCTTCTTTAGGGAGCAGAAGTGGTTGTGTCCCTGTTCTATCTGCTGACTGAGAGTGCGCCCTGGTTAGAGAGAGAGCTAGTGCTGAAAGTACAGTCCTCCTGAGAGAGAGGGCAGCGCTGGGCCGTGCTTCACGATTAATTGGAAGAAAGAAAGAGAGTTTAAAAAAGCAACTCTCTGACACACTTAGAGAGAGCAAGAGGAGAAGGAACAGAAATAGAGCTTGAATCAGGACGATTCAAGCTTAACACACACATACACTTCCAAACATACACATAGAGACAAGCACACAACAGATTTAATCGTGTCAGACATGATTTCATGAGAGGAGGCTATTAATAAGTACCTTCAGCACAATAGCAGTGAGGTCCTTCTAGGCTGCTGGAGCAAGTGGCTCCGTTCCTGCAGGGTCCAGAAACACAGTGATCGACCAATGACTGACAACGGTCTCCCTCAAAACCTAAAACACACACACAGATTGTATCACATATCAGAATTTAAAAACACATTCAATTTTAATACATCATACACACTAGAGATTGACCAATTATCGGTTTTAGCGACCGATAATAGCTTTTCCTTAATGGTAATCAAATATCAATATCGGTCAATCTCTAATATACCTGCACACATTTGATTTTGATGGGAACTTTGTTTTTATATTGAGCTAAAGATATTTTTATCCCTAAAACGAAATCTCATAAAAATACGTAACACATCTTCATTTAAAAACTCATTCAATTTTAATGCATCGTACAAACTAGAGATTATCGGTAACCGATAATCGGTTTTAGCAACCGATAATAGCTTTTCCTTAATGGTATATCGGGTTGGCGATATCAGATCCACCAATATTATAAATAAACGTGTTTAAAAATATGGGTGACTGACAGCGTTTGAAAAGATGTGCTTGTCATTTGCTACAGATGCCCTATTCAGTTTAAAGACTCAAAATAGTACTGTCAGCAAGTATTTTATAACCTATTCTAGACGGCAACAAAAATATTAATATTAAATGTAATTTGAAAGGGACCGTATTTACTATTTTCTTTGCAACTTCTGACAATGTATAATTATTCCAGGGAACTAGCTGCTTTTGTTTTTTTATGATTGTTAAAATAAAACATTGAATGTATATCAGTTCTGCATATCAGTTATCAGACATATAAACAGTCAAATAATTGGCATTGGTATCAGTCAAATATCAAATATCAATATCAGTCAATGTCTAATACACCTGCACACATTTGAGTTTGATGGGAACTTTGTTTTTATATTGAGCTAAAGATATTTTTATCCCTTAAACTAAACCTTACAAAAACACATAACACATCTTAATTTAAAAACACATTCAATTATAATGCATCGTACAAACTAGAGATTGACCGATAATCGGTTTTCCTTAATCCACCGACAATGTATAACAATGCATAATTATTCCAGGGAACTAGTTGTGTTTGCATGATTTTAAATTTTTTAATTTTGCATATCAGTTTTCAGACAAATAAACATACAAACAATCGCATTGTTATCGGTTTTTAAAAACATCTATATCGGTCAATCTCTAATACACAAGCAAACTTTTTTTTGCTTGGAACTTTCCTATGAGTTCTACTGTTTTTATAAAAAAAACCTTCTCAAAAACCCTTTTGCACTAAGACATTGAGTTTATTAAGCTGTTTTCCTCGTGGGGATGTTGGTGATTTCAGGTTTTACTATCCTTGTGGGAATATTTAGTGCTTATAATGTTGATAAAACCTGACTCACACACACAAATGGCTGCAGTAAACACAATCTGTTCTTTTCCTTCAGATAAAAACAATGAGAGAAAAAAAATTGAACAAAGCCTTCAGTTATAAATCAACAAGAATCAGTCAGCCAATGTAGGCTTGCTGCTTTTCTTACAACACTGCTAATTAACATAATTTATGCCCTCCTGTGTTCTCCATAATCCTCTTACAGAAATGGACAGAACGGTAAAAAGTGTTTGTTTGTATGCTTCCACTAGACCCTAACAGATATGCCTTCCATCAGCATGTCCATGACAGCATTTCTTAAAAAGGCACAGTTGTTTCTTCTGGAAGGCTTTAAATAACTCAAATAACTGGCTCAAATTAATCTTCATTTACATGATCAAAGGCACAAATCCCCGACCTTCAATGTCTCTTGCTCAACCTTTAGTTTGTTCTTCATTTTCCATTTTTTTCCCCTGCCCTATCTTTTCATTTAAAGCATCATCAGAGCATTAAAGCTCTGTGCTCTGCCCAAGGTTAACCTCCATTATTCACAAAAACAGACACAAGACATATCTACACAATTCATAAGGACATTGCTTCTTGCTAGATTCCTGTTATGCAAATAGAACTTTCATGTTAATATTTTGAATGCATTTAAATGAATAAAAGCACATTGTGGGTGGTTTTCAATGTTTTTAATATAAATGTTTGATGTTTATGTAGAGCTAAATAGGGAAAGGGAATTTTACAGCAAAACTAATAACACTAAATACTGTTCTTTTGATCTTTCTAGTCATCAAAAGCGAGTAATTACATTTGTGCAAAGCTGACAGACTCCCTTGTCATTTATTTATGTTTATGTTCTCCATCTGAAAACATTAAACTTCGTCAATTTAGTTTGCCTGTTGTTAATATTATTGTTGCAGCTGCCATGCCATGTTTTTATTTTTGTGATATGAAGATGAAATGAAATAAAACGAAGTAAAACATTAAATAAATAAAGGTCCTGAATATCAGCTGAAGGACATAGAAACACGGAAATAATTGGCATCTGTATTGGTTATAAAAATGTATGAAAAAAATTATCACGATTTCTACAAAACTATTAAGCATCAGAACTGTTTTCATCATTGACAATAACAATAAATGTTGCTTGAGCATTAAATCAGCATATTAGAATGATTTCTGAAGGATCATGACATTCCAGTCAAAACAAACATTTATTTTAAAAGTTATCATACATTGCACACTAAACAGAGTAAAATCTATCAAATAATGCGATTAAGATCAGAATCCTGTTAACTCTATCGTGGTAATTCAGCCAGGGGACACACATGTCCTGACACAGTTTCCTGAAAATCCCTCAAACACACATAAGCTCACACACCTGGTTGGCAGGTACAGGTGTAGTTTTGTCCTTCATCTCTCTGTGTGAGGTCAGCACAGGTGCCGTTGTTCTCGCAGGGCTTCAGGTGACATGCGTCAAACTCCTCACAGAAGATCCCAGAGTACCCATCATCACACTGGCAGTAAAATGTGTCCTGTGATTCACATTTAAACACACATCATCAAATGTTCACAGAAACTCAGGACAGAAAGCACACAAACTGAACAAAGGTATAACTATTATATCAACACTTTAGAAGGAAAAACAGCAGTACACATTCAGTGGTGCAATACTGGCCTTTCAGTGCTCTAAAAAGATAAAATAATAAGCACATAACAATAGAAAATAGTTATTTAAAATTGTAATAATATTTCACAATCTTACTGTTTTTATTATTAATTAATAAAATAAACACAGCCCTGGGGAATATAATAGACATTTATATAATATTTATAAATCTTACTTTTAAAACTTTTAAAAATCCTAATTTTCATATATATTATAATTTAAACTTACGTAACCACCAAAGAGAACTATTAGCCTTTCAGTGCTCTAAAAAGATAAAATAATAAGCACATAACGCTTATTATGATCTAAGGCCATTACCACAGAGGACTGGGTGATGCATTTTCCTTTTCCAGAGCATTGTGGGTCACTGAATCCACTTCCGGGCTCCATACAGTTATTGGTTTTTACATTGAGATGCAGCCTCAAAGTGACCTCTGGACCAGAGGGTGCACCAACATGCAACACACCTACATGGAGAGAGATAAACAAAAAAGTTCATAGTCGTAGTAGAGAGTAAAAAAATATATATATTTTTTTTTTTTCAAAGAAAGTGCGCGTTAAGCCACAAGAGTGGTTGCCAGGGTGTTGCTATGCAGGTGCTAATGTGTTCTGATTGATTTTAGCTTGTTTTAAGCTTGACTGCTGTGTTTTACGGAAATAAAAACCAAAGTTAGTTATTCAAAGATGATGAATGCACAATTAACAGTTACTATAAAAAAAGATGTTTAAAAGAGATACAAAATTTTGATTATAATTATTATAATTAAATAATAAACAGTATATTCACTTTACTATAATCACAGTATATTATTTACTTTATTTATTACCCCTATTCACCTGTTTTGCCTGTCTTAACCCAGACACATAAATCTAGAAATCTAGATTCACATTTATTATACAAAGCAAATCCATGTAATTAATTTGTAATCATATTGTGGATATTATTTATTATTTCCTTTTACACAACACACACACAGACAGCAATGGCTCAAGGGCAGACATTGTTTGGCTCACAGAATCAAACAGGGTCAAATAAAAGACTCGCAACACTCATCAATGTGTCTGGAAAAATTCTGAATTGCAAACAAGTTGGAAACAGACATTATACACACAGATGTTTCAAAGGCAAAGTCCCAATTTATAGTTTCAAATACAAAAATAGTTTCATACAGTATATTCCTCCACATACACACTTACTGATGAAGTAGTTGTGTCCGAATGGCAGGGACTGGTCAGGGAGCACCAGGCCATCTGAGCTCTGCTGAAACCACATGATTGTACCATCTGCAACAGAGCACTGCTCATAACCAGCCTCACCTACACGCCACAGCACAGCGGAGCCACTTACATTACCCACCAACCTACACACACACACACACACACACACACACACACACACACATACACAGAGAGAGGAAGAGATCTCATCAAAATCAGTCACATGTCAGTATGCAAATGAACTGAAGACAGGAAAAAGATGTAGCACACTGTACAAAGGGAACATAATGGTTAAGAACAAGATACATTTTGACTTATTCTTTTATTATTTATTATCATACTGAAATCATATTAAATGTATAATATTCAATAATTTACTATATTAAAGCTTTTTTTATTTTATTTTATTTATATGATCTAAAATGTATATTTATCTGTTATGTTGGCCAAAAATCATATGAAAAGTACTTTGAAATGATATGGTAAAATTGTCAATGTATCCCAAAAGTGTGGCTATGGTTTAAAATGTATATTTTAATTATATAATCAATCAAACATATAAAATATATAATTGATGAATTATATTTCCATCCATATTTTGATCATTTTTATATATTATTTTTATTTTAAAATTTTTAAATATTTATTATATTCTTTTTGTTTTATATTTTGTTTTGCAGTAGTTCAAGGCTAGAAATATCCATAAATACCACAGAAAGTAAACTAAAACACATTAAAAGCCCACAACTCTTCAATTCTAACATGTCTTTCCAAGAAAAACAGGGCATGAGAAAGTTTCTTACTTCACAGCTGTTTCCTCGGTGACCTCCATGGAAACAGTCATCATTCCGGCAGACTCACCTCCTGCGGTACTCACACATTCGGCTTCATCAGTAACCTACAACACACACAAATAAGCTTCTCACAGGAGTAATCCTGCCTTCCAGACCGGACCCAACTGTCACGACACATCACGCTTACACAAACGCACACTTAATGCATGCAAACGCACACCTGCTCACCTGCTGATCCTCCCACAGTATTTCCACCACTTTCTGACCCGGTTTGGGTCGCCACGGCTCCAGTGTGGGCGGAGCTTGAGTAGTGGTGGGGACTGTGGTTGGCTGAAACACTTGAGTGGTGGTCGCAGGTGTGGCGGGTGTGGCGGGCGTGGCATGTTCCGGTACAAGGCTCTCGGCGAGGTCCCAGGTGGACTCGGACAGGTCAAAGGTCAAAGTAGGCAGGTCACACCGGACCCCGCTGTAACCCTCACTGCACTCGCACACAAACCCATCCCCCTCAACGTCCTGGCTACAGTTGCCATGGAGACAGGGGCTGCTGGCGCATGGATCTGCAAAAAACTGCACCCAATAAAAACAACACGAATGAGAAATGAAAACTGCATCATATTATCAAACATTTTAAACTGCTCCAGTCACACAAAATAGCAGCGAACAATCCAGCTTTTATTTCAGGTAAACATGTATCGACTAACAATCAGTTGGCCTGAAGAATGAGAACTGAGAGCAATTAATATACTGAGATCACAGACGAGCACCGTTATAAATATGAACAATATCAGTAGCGCCGGCCCACTCTGCCCGCAGGAACACCTGCACCAAAATCTACAGCGCTAATTCCTTTAGCTTACAATTATGTAGTGATATTGATACAATTACTCTAATTATGCTCAGTTTCCTTTGGCAGGGACATGCCTTCTTCCCAAGAGATGAAGTAGGACTTATATGTGCCATATTTGTGCATATGTTCATCTGTAAACTATTTATACTCCATATTATGTGTGTTGGCATTACATAAGTAATCTAACATAAAATGCTTCTACTGGATAACAGATGGTATCAAAGAATATCAACAACATACTGTTTGGCTCAGGTAAAATAGCTTCTCCTTATATAATAACAAATACATTTTAGTAATTATTTAAAATGACACATTCAAATGTTACATCACAAATTACTTAGCTGTGAAATCTACAAACCAATGTTCATTGGAAAAACATACGTATGGCAAAATGATATTATGTTTTGTGTCACTTTAAAAGTGAAATGTCCAGTGAGTGGCACTAAAAGCATGTGTCTGAAACAGATAGAAGTGAATCTGGCACTCTTTTGTTACAATGGTTGTTGTACGTATTCAGAAATTAAATGTTCGTTGAGTGGCGCTAAAAAGTTAATGCTCTATCACATTTGCAAATGACGTACCACTTACATTAAACCCAACCCCAAACCTAACCAATAGTGTTAACAAAAGCAAACCTGACATTTGCTGACACAATCATGCCATTTCAGCTTACTTTTATCATGAATTGTGTTTCACAGGACTCCCAAGTGCTTCATATCATAAATCTAATGCTGTACCAGGTGTGCTAACAAGCAAGTTTACTTCATCAGAAATGCCATACATATGGAGTAAATCAGGGATTAAAGTGTTCCGTCGCTACGACGGATTTCCGTTAGTTCATAAAGAGAGTCACTTGCTTCATTCCTGAATGATTCAGCCGTTCGAACGAATCAATTGAATGAATGACTCAGTGATAAAAATCAGTGACTTGCCGCCACCTGCTGACGGATTTAGTTTCATTTTTAGCATATAATTTCAGTTATTTAAATCATATTTCTGTATTCAAAATGTTATATTTAAAACATTAATCTCCACATGAATTTATGAATTTAATTGCACTCATGCTATCTCTGAGCCTCATTAAACTTCTGAAAATGTACCTACAAGCCACTTTTCTGTTCTTCTGTGCCACCTCTGTTGTACAAATTAATTTATTAATACTAATTTCATATGATTGGTAACTTATTTGTCTTATTCTACTTATTATATTGTTTTAAATAGAAATTTTAAAAAGCTTATAAACATAAATTTTTGAATTTGACATAGATGAAAATGATGCCATTACAAAGGTAAAAAGGAATACAAAAATATTAAATGATTTAAATAACTGAAATTATACGCTAAAAATGAAACTAAATCCACCAGCAGGTGGCGGCAAGTCACTGATTTTATCACTGAGTCATTCATTCAATTGATTCGTTCGAACGGCTGAATCATTCAGGAATGAAGCAAGTGATTGTCTTTATGAACTGACGGAAATCCGTCGTAGCGACGGAACACTTTAATCCCTGAGTAAATTGGTATGTTTTTGTAGTTTTGCAGAAATAGAGTATAGGTAGAGGCACATTTTCACATGAGTCTGGGTTGAAAATCCATCAACTGTAAACAATTAAACCCTTTTAGACTGCAGAACGCATGAGATGTTATGTCCTTCTTCACATCTGTCCCTCCAGCCCCCTTATTAAGCTAATCAGTTTACTGGCAATCACAGAGGCACATCTGAAGTGCAGGACAGTACTTCCACTGCACATGTTGAGGGCTACATGTTAGAGGCTCTCCTTGATCTCACCAGCCACAATTGACCCTTCGCAAAAACAAGCCCCGCTTAGTTACTGTTGCTACGTCCAACAAGCCATGACACTCTCACACCACACATCATGCTCTCACGCAGCGAAAAATACATTACGAAGCAAAGACGACATTGACAAAGTGCCGACAGACAAGACAGAGCAGGTTACTTTTGGTATGAAACAAAGTCTCAGCTTTCAAATCTTTAAGAAATTCAAACAATAAATAGCGATTTGTGGCTCTTTAATGTGTGGTGACAGATCGCTGTAGCACCTCCGTTCAAGCGGCACGTGAACAGATCATCTCGTCCTCTTTACAAGTTATAGCACAAAATAAATGTGAGTGAACACCAGAAGGAAATCTGGTTTCAACCACGGAAAGATGTCAATAAACATCATTTTTCAAGCTCAAGTCCACTGACGTTAATCTACTCTCCTGTCCGGTTTGTTTGACGGAAAAAAATGGCAGATTCTGCGTTATGATTGGTCAGATCAAACTCCTGAACTATATGGTCATCTGAATTCTTAATGTGGCTTATTCTGTGTTTAAATGCTGTTGTGTCACTGTTCATCAAGTCCACTTGAGCTTTGACACCTGTAACTGTTGATTTATTTATTTTTTTTATATGTATAAATAGGCAAAGATACATACTATATCAATCCATATGAAGCGTTCAGTTATGGTCAGTACAGGTGGTTTTAGAAGTTCAAGACATTAATGATACATTTGTGTTCAGAACAAATCTATGATTCATTTAAAAAAATGATGCTATTTTTTTTACAGCTAATGGATAGTGGGACAGGTTTTATCCCATGAATCAAGAATCAGTGAGTTGTTTTTCTCCTGCTGTTCTAAATCAGTGTTTCTCAATGGGTGGGTTGTGACCAAAAATTGGGTCACAGGTCTGTTCTGATAACTAACCTAAATACACATAATTCTCTACCAACCATATAATCATGCATTCTTAGGATAGGACTTTTCATGTTCAAGTTGCTCATGTTAATATTGATTTAGCATTTGTAAATAAATGACTATCCGTTTGATTTTAAAGCGTTTTCGGTTGACCGAAGCCATTGACTTCCATAGTATTTGTAAAAAAAAACAACATTCGTCAAAATATCTTCTCTTGCAAAGAAAGAAACTTATATAGGTTTAGAACAACTGAGGTTGAGTAAATTATGACAGAATTTTACATTTTGGGTGATCTCTTTGAGGACATTTTTATTCATCTTGGGGCAAACAATTTAGGTACCATGTAGGCCATCCAATGTACTATTGTTAAAGGGTTAGTTCACCTAAAAATTCACATCCCTGACCTTTGGCTTCTTCAATCTGATTTTAACAGAGAGCCTCCTCTAATGTGAAGAGCTGTGGAGTGGTTTCAACCCAAGACCTCCACCACTGGAGCTGGTGTTTATCCTATAGAGACAGTGTTTAATTTTCTTTCATTGTGATTAAAGAATGTATTTCAAAAACCTTTCAAAACCCCAAAAGGTTGGCTACACTTCATCTTGCAGCAAATACCTCCTCTTTCTCTATTTTTAAAGGTCAAATTGCTACCAAATCATGCTGAAATGTCTCCTCGGACTTGAATAACAACTCACGGATGCAAATTTGAAAAGGGCGAGCTTGTCTTCCTTATTCATAATGTAATTTAAAACAGACGTAAAGTTTTATGATTGAGTTATGACTTTTTAAAATCATTAAGAAATATTTGAATTCTGCGCATTTCTATGAAAGCAAAATTGTACTAAAATAAAAGTTCAAATTAATGCAGATTTTTAAATTGAACACTTTACTTAGATTATTCTTTAAAATAGTTTATTAGAAATTATAAATTAAGAAAATGCAAAAGTTATTTTCAAAATACTTTATATGTAAATTTATGATTCTGCACATTTCTATGATATAAAGCAAAATTGTACAAACAATCTCAAATTCATATTGATTTTTACACTTATCTTTTCACTTAGATTACTGTTAAAATTGTTTATTATAAATTACATTTTAGGAAATGTTTAGACTTTTTCAGGCATTTTATTTGGTATTTATTTTTAGTTACATTTTAATTAATTATATATTCTTTTTTAATTTAGGATTTCATTTTGCATACTAGGATGAAAATGGTGTGAAACAAATTTAGATCCAATGTTTTCAAAGCAGCGTAATCAAAAAATATCTTTAAAATCAGGTTTGGGCTCATATGGTCCCAGGTCTGGTACATATCCAGCAATGCAACATGTTTATAGGTGGGCCATTATTCTAAGAGAAATGTGAGCGAGGTTAGAGCATCTTGCACATGTGACACTTTTTTTAAAACTTTTTTTTTTATGCAGGTAACTCTGTATTTGTGCCATTCCTGTTGACCTGGACAACATGGCACTTTCTCAAAAGCATAATCACAAATCCACTCAAAAAGAACAATGTGTCTTTGTGCACATGTTTGTGTGTTCAGGAAAGAGCACAGAAAGAACAAAATGTTTCTAACACACACACACACACACACACACACACACGCGCACACACACACACACACACATACAGTCAGCTTGAAAACCCACTGCCATCTGACTAT